TCATTTAGCATATCAACATCCTTCTCCTCATTTTCCCTTTCTACTTTCCATGACATGACACGATGAAAGAGATAACATGACCCTTTGTATTCATTCTTCTTATCGTGACGAACGAGCGGGCGAAGAATCTGGCGAGATGAGAAGTGTGCGTAATTCTCACATCCATTCTCACATCCATTCTCACATCCATTCTCACATCCATTCTCACATCCATTCTCACATCCATTCTCACATTGCGCCGTCTTTCTCCATTAGGTCTGGTTCGGCCGATATCTATAATTGACAAGTGTACAGTGGGGCTCTTTGGGTTCGAAAATCAATGGATTTCGACTAGGGGCCTGGCTGTCTGGGTAAGGTGGGTAATTTTATCAGTGGATCCGGTTGGTTGATCCAAGGCTTGTTAACAATCTAAAATCAAAAGTCAATACCCAATACAGCACAGACAACATATCTACCTAGTACCTCCAGCTCTCCAGCTACCTACGGAATACCTACCTGGGGATGCACATATGGAAACCATGATGCTGATGATGGCGATCGGATTGGATTGGATCTCATTTCTCCTCAAAACTTCCCAACACGGTCGCTTTCTAGAAGATCGATGATTCCTTGTGTGGAATTCCATTGCATGCATCTATCAACACTCCACGGCGCTTATGAATAACGTCGTGATTAGATCATCTTAGACATTTCATCTACACGATCTCAAACATTGAAAAGCTACGCCAGAATCATTCTAGTCGACGAGTATCCCTTTGGAAGCTTTGGAAGGGAAGACCTAAAGAGACCCTCGCACATGAAGATTGGACCAGAATGGTAGGTAAAGCTTGATGGTACAATTTAGACGTACCATTCAATCGTCCATTCATCTATCCATTCATCCACCCACCCATCCATTCATCCATCCATCATCATCATCATCATCACTTCCAAGAGACGTTAAAATTTGGACCGGTTCAATTCATCTATCAAATCGATAGCTGAAACGTGTGAAAAGTAACTCTGCCTCCTTGGCGCATCATTTCCTCGGTGTATTCTCCCGAATTATAACATCGAACCACACGTATCTGCATATACATACGAATACATACCCTACGTGCGAATACTACATACTACATCGAGGGACGATCAAATTTCAAACAATATCCACTACGGATCATCAACAATGAACCATCAACCTTAACGAACGGGAACTTTTACAGTACAAAGGTACTAGTTTCAAGACACTGGACGATTCTATACTTGAAAAAAAAAACATTCTACGCCTCTTACGCATGGGCAATTGCCCTGAAACAGTTGAACTAAACTTTAGTGGTTCGATTCACTTGAAACTAAAGCTATTAACATGCCATTCATTCATCCATTTGCCTTGTATCCGCTCCCTAACCATCCATTCCGAACTGAATGATTTAAAACGGCCGGGGGTCCTTCCATTTTGGGAATCTTTGAGCCGCTCTACCAACCAGCCTTGGGGAAATATTTGACCGAGATAAGAGTACTTGAACTGTGTAATACTCCGAATATCTCTGACCGAAAATATCGAGTCACAAAAATCTTCGAGAGTGTCCTTTCAAGTGATGATGGTTCAAAAGCTTCAGCCAGAAAAGAAGTGTCAACCCCACAAGATCTCATGAATTAACACGAGATTCATCACGCATGTGTACCTAGGTAGGTAAGGGTTAGTGTTAAGGTATCGCCAAGGAGCTTCTTACCGTACGCCCATAAGCAAGCCAGCTGCCATGATTTGCTTGGATATGAGTGGTCTTATTGTTGTACAAACTCATTGATTCCATGAAATATTTAGAAAGTAGTCGAGTACTTTTGAGTTTGGTGTCACGCCACAATGGTACAAGGCTTAAACGAAATACCAGCTCAGAGTTTTATCTACAATCTTATATATTTGTTGTTTTTATTTTGTTATGATTATTGTAATCGATATTCATCATAACCCTTCTTTGATTGTCTTTCATTTGGACCAAGTGCTCCAATTCTTAGAGTTGATCCGAGAAGTTAATGAGTGAATGAATGGTTTACTCTACTGCCCTCACCTCTTTTCTCCATCTCTAAAATGCTTGCCTTGTCTACGCTGTGAAATTTCATCAGATCATATCACAATCTTTGTCTTTCTCTTGAAGATTACTTCCTTTTGTCTTCCTTCATCAAGTTCCACTGCACATGTTGAGACGAAGACTTAGATACCTTGTGATCTCACCCCTCACCACGCCACACGTTATACAGAACTCCATCCTGTGTATCTTTGTGACCAAGCCCTAGGAATCAAAAGGCTGATTGCATTTGGCTCATGTCCAGAAATTAGTTGATTTTGGCTTGGCTTTTTGTTCATATGATCTCATTCTGTGTGCTATTCAAATACTATATCTCACCATTACAAGATCTTGTGTGGCGATGCTATTCTTAGGTATAATGTTACAATGTGACCAATTTGATTTTGTACTTCACTTATTCTTCTTTTGAATGAATTCTTCTTCCTAAATGCTGAGTGCTAGTGTATGATTCAAAAAAACTTCTACAGTTTCCTCACTCTTCGCTTCGATTCATTGTGGTCTTTGAAGTTGAAGGACATTTGCTGTGCGGATACAAGAAAGATATGGAGCAGATGGACCCATTGTCTTGTACATCGACAGATTATAAATATACTATCGTTAATCATCAATCAGTGTGTAACATGCGTATACTACATTGAATTTTCACATTGTCAAAAAGATTCCTTGAAGCTCCTGTGAACCCTTTTGTTAAAGTTCTCGAGTGTGTACTTTATTTCTCAATATTTCCATACTACTATACATTATTAACAATGAGTCGACTCTCAAAGCAGCGGCAGTCCCCTCAATAATCGCCTCTACTCCCTCGGCAGCACCTTCGGAGCCGCTCTCAGAGGGATTGATTTCTTCACATCCCTCACGGATACTTTTCAATTCTCCCGTATCCCCATTGGCCGCCTGGAAAGCATGTTGGATATCTCAATATTCGCATCTGCAGGACGATTAGCTGGAGTACACAATAGCAAAAGGAAAACAAAAAAGACTTCCTCGACAACGGTGTAGAATCGCGTATAGATATCCACATCATTGTCCCCCGTCTTCGTACATCTCTAATCGGTAATGACGCCACAGCATCCGCGCAAATTATCGAAAAAGCCTCTCCGCACTCCGCCATGGGATAAGATTCGCTGTTGGGCGTGCCCCATTTGGGAGATAGACGGTCCATTTCCAATCTACAGGCGGACACGTGATGGACTTTCCACTCAAGTTCGGCGCGACGCCCTCGCATGCAGAGTCTTAGATTGTAGCATTGTAGCATTGTATATTGTAACTGTGGGGGTAGGGACCTGCGTGAGCGTCGAAACGATGGTCGTGGTGCGGTGCTTCTGGCACGGATGATGAATTTCACGCCGCCGATCTGTTCGAGTACTGAGGAGCCGCAGATGACTATGTTGCTATTTAAATGGTGGTGATATGTATGTACGATTTCTAGTACTCGCTATGATAGTCCATGTTAGTACTACTTATAGATAGATAGTCTTGCATTTGAGAATGTTCTCGTTCTTCTTCTTGTCTTGTCTGATCTCAAATCTATCTGTTCTTTTAGTTCTCTTATGAGGAGATTTATATTTATATTTATATTTCTTGAGTTGTTGAAGCGCGTGAGAAAATGGGTTCTTCTCTCTCTCTCTTTCTCTCTCTCTTTCTCTCTCTCTCTCTCTCTCTCTCTCTCTCTCTCTCTCTCTCTCTCTCTCTCTCTCTCTCTCTCTCTCTCTCTCTCTCTCTCCCCTTAATATTTGAGAAAAGAGTAGGGTTATCAGTTACGTTTAAATTAATCGTTTAGAGATTTAATATGTATGTATCTATATCTATATGTATATATATATATATATATATATTCATTTAAAGTATTAAGAAGTACTTATTTAGTTATTTATTCATTTAGTCGTATGTGTATATACGAGTAGGTAGCTTGTGATGGATAATGGATTATGAATTATTTATAATTCATGATTACTAGATAGGTAGTTATAGGAATGCTTAAGAGATGGAAGATGGGGAATGAAAGATGGGGAATGAAAGATGGGGAATGAAAGATGGGGAATGAAAGATGGGGAATGAAAGATGGGGAATGAAAGATGGGGAATGAAAGATGGGGAATGAAAGATGGGGAATGAAAGATGGGGAATGAAAGATGGGGAATGAATGGTGCGTTTGATTTTGATGCTATGTATATCTAGGTACTAGTTTATTTTTAATTTTTATTTTTCTATATCGTTACACGCACTCCGGAAGGAAATTGGGGATGGATTCTTGAGGGTTTGTTTCTTTTGTTTTTGTTTTTGTTTCATGTCTTTTTTTTATACTTTTTGGGGGGGAGGAGGAGGAGAATGAATGATTTTTTTCCTTGTACATGTGGTGGGTTTCCTTTTCTGTGTTGATTGTTGAAACTTGTTCTTTGTGCTTGGAAGGTGGAAATTGGAGTTCTGCTTCTTCTTCCTTTTTTTTTTCTTCTTTAGTAAGGAATGAGAAGGGGATGGAGATTGTTTTGTATAGGTATGTATGCATGTGCTGAAATGAAATGAAATGAAATGAATGAATGAATGAATGAATGAATGTGATGGGAGATGCTTTTGTATACTTTGAAATACATATGATTGTTGGGGATTATATTTGCTATATCCATCTATGAATTGTTGAGTTGGGTAGGTAGTGATGTGTGTGTATATTTCAGATGATGAGTGTTAGTTCTGAAATACATATGATTGTTGGGAATTATACTTGCTATATCCATCTATGAATTGTTGAGTTGGGTAGGTAGTGATATGTATATTTCAGATGATGAGTGGTATCTTTGAGAAGCAGTATGAAGACAAGAGATGAATTGTAGCGAGACAATTATATCATGGCAAACAGACAGATTACATTATACTATCAACCGTGTTTATTCAGCCACACAATTTTCAAGCTTCCTCTATTCCAAATCCATCCCATCTACTAATCTCTCACCTCCTCCTTCAATCCCCTCTCAAACTCCTCATCCATCTCCCTCAAATCCACCCCCCTCCCCTCGGGCAAAAACCAATAAACAAACACCCCCAACACCCCCACACCCCCCGCCACAAAAAACGTACTACTCTTCCCCGCCGCCTCCTGAATCGGCGTAAAAACCTGCGTCCCCACTGCCGCGCCCGCCTTTCCAAACCCCGCACTCACCCCATACCCCAACCCTCTAATCGCAGTCGGGAAACTCTCCGCGCTCATCAGCCCAATCGTCGCACCGGGTCCCATGTGTCCCAGACTCGCAAAGAGTCCATACAGCACGATGAACGCGGGGAGGTTTTCCGCCGTCGTCAGTCTCCCATAACATCCCCCGATGATAAATCCCAAGAGGATGTAGCCCGCAAACCCGAGAATGCCAGTCCATTTGCGTCCGATGCGGTTCACGAGCCACATACCCAGCAGTACCCCCGGAATGGGGAAGATGGCGAGCACAAACTGCCAGATGGCGACGGTGCGGATATTTTTCCCGGGCACGAGCCCGTTGATGATGGCGGCGCTCATGATGCTATTTGGAAAGTTGACGAAATCGTAGAGGAAGAAGGCGGTGCTGGTGCCCAGAGCACGAAGTCCGTAGGTGCGCAGCACGAAACGCCAGGGCGTGGGGCGCGTGCGGAAATTCGATGCGCGGAAGAGTTTCCCGTCCGTCATGCGCAGACGGACGAGCATGACGACGAGCGGGAGGAGGGTGCTTATGCTGTAGATGGCGTGGAAGGCGACGGTGAGATTGTTGTGCGAGGCGAGGAGCGCGAGGAGATAGACGAGGGTGCAGGTGGGAGAACCGGTTGTGGCCATCAGGGTCGAGATGAAGACTTGGATGGGACCTCTTTGCGCATCGAAGGAATCGGCGGAGCCTTCGAGCGCCGCGGCGGCGGAGGCCGGATATTCGCCTCCGACGCCCACGCCGGCGATGCCGCGGGCGATGGTGAGGTACCAGAGCATGTGTGAGGAGGGCTGGACTTGCAATGCGAGCGTTGAGAGGAGAGATCCGATGATCACGAGGGCGGATGTGAAGAGCATGCCGCCCTTGCGGGAAAATTTATCGGATGTGTAACCGAGAATGAGGATGCCGATTACGGAACCGATGAGTAGGGCATTGGAAATACGGGTTTGGATTGTGGAAGTGTAGATTTTGGTGCCGAGGAGGTGATTGAATACGACATTTGTACTTGAGGCCTGTTTGTGTTAGAAATACATTTTAACATGGGAATATCAAAGAGAAAGAAAAGAAACTTACCAAGCCCTGTTGATATCCATCTGAATAGTTTGCCATTGCCTAGGTATGATCATCAATACAATCATCTCCTCAACTAATGCCCTATAGATATAAAACTTACAGATCCCATAATCGTCCAAATAGACCCAGCTTTAGTATCCACAGACTCAGCATCTGATTCCAGATCTCTCAACTCTTCCGCCGCATTATTGTCACCATTTTTCTCTCCCCCGGTCCTCATCGAAGATACATCCCGCTTGGCAATATCTTGTGATGCAACCATTATTAGCATTCGACTCTACTTACACTGCGTACAGTCTACGAAATTAGAATTGACAAAATTCCCGTATCAAGAACTCAAGTCTTCGCAATTCCCAAAACCTCCTTTGAAAATTCAATTTTCCTTTCCAGCGGAAAAAAGAAAGAAAAAAAAGAACACTCAAATACACAGAAAACATCCCCAAGATATACATACCCCTTCACCCCTCCACCCCTCCTTCAAACTTCCCCTCCCATTCTCGCCATCCAACCCATCCACATCTACAAGTCTCCACACCAACAATCTACCATCGCAAAATCCATCCACAAGAGAAAACTTTTCCATCCCAACCTGCATCTCCGCGCAGTCTCCAATCTTCTGTAATCTGATCCTTGACGTTTAGATTGGGGGGGAAAAATTGGACCCTTCCCGTTACATCTCCGAAATCTCACGGCATCTTTTTCAGCCTTGCGTTTTGTCCCCGATTTGAATAGTTCATGATTGGGGTTTCCATGACACAACCGTCGATCACTAGCGCGGATATCGCCTCTATGGTATAAAGGAGTGGGTCATTTGAGTGGAAGCGCCGAGCAGTGTCCGATGCATCTGGTATGTATATTTCCGGCGGAATATTACACCCGGGTTAGTGGATTTTGAGAGCGATTATCAATGATGTGACAGAAGAAAATCGATTTGAAGATTATTGTAATGGTATACTGCCATACCGGCGGTGTCATCATGTTTCATTAATGATCTGATTATACTACAAGTCTCCACCACTTCCATTCTTCCATCACGAGACGCGTTCTGGCCACGCTTCCCAGTGTTAACTTCATTTTCTACCGATCTCGTACCGCCATTGCCTCCTTCGCCGCGAGACGGATTCCAGTCTGCCTTTTGCTTCCGTGAATGTATTACACCTGACCATCCGACTTTTCAACTCAGCCTCCGACTTTTCCTTCATTCCAACCCTCGACATCATTTCGACACTACATTTATGTTCGCACAACCAAATAGACGTTAGAAAGTTAAACCCAACTTTCCTCATAAACACATATATGCTACGAAAAACACCAACTCCCAACTCAATCGCTGATGAAAAAGTCTCGTGTATATGTATATCCCTCATATACATCTAGTTCCAATTCGACCCATTGTGCCCAAACCCAATGCCCACCAAAAGACGCTTCATGTACTGCGCTTTTTCCCAAAACGACTCAAAAAACAACAAGATTGCAAATACAAAGGAAAGTTTTGTTTGAAAAGTAGAAGAAAGGAATTGTATAACCGATAAAGGTAGTTGACAAAGGCGAGAACTCATAGTACCTCAATTAGTGAAACTTCCTCTAGTACTAGACTGAGAACTTCCACTATCGCTTGGTGTTTGCGGCTCGATAGAGACCTGGTTTTTGATTGCAACAATCCACTCGTGTTGTAATAGTTCCGGTGCCGAAGCACGTTTCTTGGGGTCTCTAATGAAGCACTTCTTGATGAAATCAATACCCTGGGGGCTGAGTTGGTCTGGTGATGGCATTTGAGGAGGATTGCCTTGGGCAATATTGTACATGATAGCCCATTCGTTATCAAGAGATGTCCAAGGTCGACGACCTGTAGCCATTTCAAGGATAACACAGCCGAGTGACCAGACATCGACTGAACCAGCTCGTCCTGGGTTCTCTCCTTTGATTACTTCGGGTGACATGTACATTGGTGTTCCAGTCATAGATTTGTTTTTGTTGGCAAGACTGGCTGTAGTCGCGGTGACAAGAGTTTTACCTTGGCGAGCAATGACTTTTGCGGCGCCAAAATCTACATATTTGATTACACCGTTGTGATCAAGGAGAATATCTGTGTTTATTGTTAGAGAACTGATCGTATGGATGAGGCAAAAAGATGACTTACTTTCTGGTTTGATGTCACGATGAACAATGCCACTTTCGTGAAGATATGCTAGACCTTCAAGAAGTTGCAAAGCGTACACCATTATAACCTGCTCGTCCTCGATTCTTCCATGCTCGAGAAGACCTGCAAGTGACCCACCAGAACAGTACTCCATAAAAATATAGACTTTATCGCGATGAACTTCAATTCCATGATATGAGACTACGTTGGGATGATCGAGAACCTCCAAGACGTGCATCTCATCGGCAATCTGAGCAGCAATTGTAGGAATAAGGTTAGGATCTTGTAGACGAATCTCTTTCACAGCCATAAGATGACCAGAGTCCAGATTGATCGCAGCATATACTGATCCAAAGGTACCACCACCAACGAAGTTTCCTTGTTGCCAGCGCATATTGATATTGGATGGAGAAGCAGAAAGATGTGTGAGAGATCGGTCTGCTTCATTGTTTTCTTCAAGAACTCTGCCGAGAGCTTGTCTTTCCGCCTCGATAACCTTTCGTTCTTCATCAAGATCAGCTATCAGTTCAAGACGTTGTTTGAGAACAAACGCAGCTGATTCCTCATCGTCAGCCATTCCCCTAATATCCATCTTCCTAAATTGGCCGTTCAATGTCTCCACCCGCTGTTTCTCTGCTTGAGCGGCCAAGTTTGATCTTGCCCCCATGATATCAAAATGTGAAATCAACAGAGACATACATCCCGAGACCTTGGATCGAAGTCTTGTATACTCATCTTCCCCTAGAGCTAAAATATGCTGGCCTTGAGTCATACCCATTGCAAATTCAAGTGCAAGCACCGCCCATCTGAAAGTTTTACGATCCGTAGGAACGCAGTCATCACAAATGAAGCTCACCCAGTCCAGGGCAATCTTTGTGAGTTTGATGTTGTTCATTTGCTTTCGGTTTCGATCCATATAAGGCAAAGACCGCTGACCAAACTCGGTAGCGAAGATGAAGCAGGTTTGAATGAGTTCTTGACATTCCAACCCTTTTGTTTGTTTCCGAACAATTTCCACGCTGTCCATAATCAAATTTGATAGCTTATACACGACCTTCTTGATGTCGGTCAATTTGAGATGCACTTTCTTGAGGTGGGATCTCTGTTCGACTACCATGTCCAGATGTATTCCGATCGAATCTAGAAACGCCATTCGTGCGTTTGATAATCTGGCTTGTGATCCGTCTGCAATAAGTCGAAGATGTCCAACTTTCAAATCTATGTTGATGTTTATCAAAGCTGAATCGACCTGTCGACCATCCCATCCTATTGGGATCTCGGGGCGAAGAACTAATATATAAGGGTTGCTAGGGTCTTCTTGTGTATCCTCGGTGTGATAGCAAGTTCCTAGAATGGACTGGATGTCTTGGGGTCGATTGTACAAAGACGGAGAGGCTATGAGGAAAATACCATCGTGCTCAATGCTTGCAGTATAAACCAAGAAGTGACCTGTTTCAATAAGCCTTGAGTAGAGCTCTTGCAAACCACTCTGCTTCAAAGCAATGCTGAAGTCCGTCGAGTTTTCGAAACGATCACTCAAGACCCTGGAAAATCTTTGCAACATACGCTGCCGCACGCGAACGGAGTCTAGACTCTGCTTATAACGCTTTGTCATCTCAGAAGCTGTTTCCTTTGGCTTTCTCACCATTTCTTTTTCGAAAGTGGTATTCAGTCGGAAGAAGGCCTTGTGGGTTAAAGAGCTAAACTGCTCTGCCACTTCAACATCACCGCCTTGTAGATGTCGTCCAATCTCGTTAGAGAAATCCCATTCTTGCTCAAGAACTTCAGCTTCCTTGAAAGTGTTTTTGTTTCCACCCAATTTCCAGTTGAGCATCTTGAAGTAAAACTTAAGGGCATCTAAAACTACCTGGTCAAAGGACTCATCGATACAGGGTGGTAAATCCCACCCAGGCTCAGGATTTGATATGGTAAGGTACTCCTGCTTAATCAATATGGCAAGTTTCAATAATATTCTGAACTGCGAAATCATTTGCTCGGCCATCATTGCGTTTTGTTGCGTGGATTCTCGCATCTTCTTCGCATAATTTAGTCGAACCTTGATAATCTCTTCGATGAGGCGCGATGGAAAGTTTATGAGAGTGAGTAACTCTTCGATATAAGGAGGTAAATGACGCTTCGCAAAACCTTCGGAGTTCTCGATCAATGTATTCTTTGCTTTCATGATAACCTCAGATACACCTAACAGTATGCTTTTATCACCTTGTAGAGATCTCAACCCATCCTCCTTGAGCAACCTATCAATAAATGATGATTCATCGGAGAGTCCGTGTCCTGAAGGTGAGCGCTGTCTCACTTTGGTGAAGTCAAGTTCCGGATTTCCTACCCAGTTTTGTAGGACGGCAAGTTCAATGTTGATAAGTTCGGTGGTATTGTGCCATGATATGACAGCGTCGCAGGTAGCAGCGAATTGTGTAGACGCTGCCAGTTTATTCGCCATTTCCAAGCCGGTGCGAGATGGGTATAGACTTTCACACTTCTCAATCTTTGCAACTATGCCCCGCACTTGATCAATAGGTGATTTTCCAGCCTCACTCTCGCCTTGCACCTGAAACTTAATAATTTCTTCCAAAACGGTGTCAAGGTTGGCCCGAGTATCTTCTAATATCCGTCGCTGGGCCCCTAAGCTTCTGCCGCATACCTTCGATCGTATACCAAGCCAGATCTCTGTGCCAATGTTCTCTGCTTTGTTTTCTGAATTACCAATTAAACGTTTCTTCTCTTGCCTAACTACGTCTCCGGTTAGCACAGATGCCAACATCCCATGCCATTCCAGACGCTCTCTATTCGCGGGATCTTTCAAGTCTTCCTGAGTAGGTTGTATGTCATCGTTGTTGTAGAAAAGTACAGTCTCTTGATCGAAGGGATCACCATCGAATTGTAATTCTGATGGGGATTCCTCTTCAGTATCTGATCCTGTTCCATATCCAAGACTAGGTGTATAGGGTTCAGCGAAATATTCGAAAGGTGGATCATTTTGGCGTAACCGTTGCACATAAGCTCTTTCTTGCGCACGATATGCGCCACTTGGATCTTGTCTATTAAATCTCGAGTTTGAACCGGAGCGATGACGATCCGAAATTGACATGTATGGAGCTTGTGGGGGTCGCCGCGCAGGCGCATATGTACTCGAAGGAGTTCGGGCTGGTGCAGTAGGCCTCTGAGATCTGGCCGTTGCGCCATTCAGAGGTGTTTGTGGTGGAGGGCTGAAAGCCGTTTCGCGGCTGTATATTGCCCCATTTGTTTCCGAATTGCTGCCTCGACTACGCATGCTTGAATTCATACTATTCATCTGGGGTCGAGAATCGATGGGGATAAAGGCATCGAGATGTGCGTCGTGTGCAGCATCTGGACTTAAATGTTCGACAAAGTCGTGGGAATCTGCAGAAGAACCAGAGCCTCCAGAGTCGCTGGTCTCAACATGTGGGCGCTCCATGATCACAGAAGATTTTAATGATTCGAACCTGTGGTTGTCGTCCCCTTCTGTGAAACGTACAGCACGAGGTGAAATCTCCGAGCTCATGTTCAAGAGTGAAACCGGTTATTAGAAAAATCAGAGGTTGCGAAAAGTACCTAATTTGCCCTTTGTTTAGCGTCGATGGGAAGTCATCCTGGTACCGATAAAGCAGGGGGTGAGAGAGTGAGAGTGGTGATATAGATTGAAGTGGTACTTGTTGTTGGGGAATGTCTAGAACCTCGATTCAGGGACGTGGAGAGTAAAATTTGGAGAAAATTTCAATGGCAGATGAAGATATAAGAGAGAAAAAGGTAGAGTCGAGAAAAAAATGTAGGTTGACTTTCGCACTGATGTACCTAGGTAGGTAGGCCGAGAGAGATAAATGAGTACTAGGTTGGTGGTGGGTAGGTAGATAGATAGGTAGATGGGTAGATGGATAGATAGATACTAGATAGATGGGTATTCTCTTTTGAAAAGCTTCAAATAGGAATATAGATCAACTCCTACACGAGTGAATGTGTATGTTTACATACGAGGTACCTATGTATACATATGTTTATATATGTCTGGCAACCTCAGCTGAAATATCGATTAGATATTATACGGAATAGATGAGATGATACCAATCAAGACTCAAGAAGGTAGGTAAGGCTATTGGGTAGCTTTTAAGATGAGGACTAGGGATTGTTGATTGGGACACAATTATCGATCTTCGAGACCCGCTGTAATGCAAAATTATGAAAAATTATCCGATTTGGGCTTTTGACTAGGACATACATACTCACATAGTAGTCGATATCTTCGGATGCACTTTTATCCCCAGCTACGAAGTTCGTACGATATACTATTGCCTATTCTATCATCCGTCTGTGAATACCGAATACCGACGTCGGGAAGTGAATGATTTGAGTTAGATATCTACCTAGTTATTGAGAAGTACCTACCTGGATGCCTCGTAGATGAACTGGGAGAGAGAGGGACCGTAAACAATATTCAAATAGATACCTGATAGACATTCTCTTCTGTTCCCATCATACAGAGTAGAGTTTAATTGCTTGAGAAGGCCAATGAGATTCGTTACATTATTTTACTAATACTACTGATGCTGCGGTAGATATTGCTTTTCGGCTACAACCCAGCACCTAGCAAGGGATTCATTTCGATGTCATGATGGCCATTCCAAAAAGAAATCCCATGCGAGCCATACTTCACCCCGCGACATTTTCTCATTTGCCACCCGCCAGGTCGATCATATCCTTCACTTCCAATGACAAGCTTGGATTCCATGTTTGACGAGTTTCAAAGTGAATCCTCGAGAGCCAAGCCACCATTTACCGAGCTACCATCCATAATAGAAGCGAGGGAGCGAGGGAGCGAGGGGAGTTCAAAATGGGAGAGCTTGACTCGAGGCTGTAGAACAAGCGGTAGGTTGTAGTTTCTTGAGGCTGGAGCATCTTGAGAGTTCTCATTTGATGTCAATTTAGCACAGTATGGACAGCACATATGATATAATGTTGTATTCAGTCAGAGTGTGTATGTACATGCCATACAAACCGGAAATCATGAATGCAAAGATCGACAGTGTAAAGGATGCCCGAGCGGGTGTTCACTGTGACGAGAATATGGATGTTTATCAGATAGTGAAAGTGGCTTGTGTTGTCTCAACATCATATCTATCCATCTATCCATCTATCCATCTTAACCTTTCGGTACGGAATTGGAGGCTTGTCGTACCCTCTTTTCTAATACACAAGCCAAATGGTTCTATTTGACTCGTCTGGGCGATTGAGGGCAGATGGGTATAACTCCCTACCTAGTATCTTATATCTTATAAGGTTACGGTCCACGGAACGGAGCACGAGCCGAACTCTCAGAAAGGCTGATGAAGGGGCTCTTTTTTTGGACACAAAATGTTTCAATCATCGATCGTGTCGGAGAAAAAGTTCCGATGCTAAAAAGTACTTAGCTCGAGCTTAGGTACTTGATCCCTGTCAGGTGTCAGCCTCGTGTAGAACGCGTCTAGAATCTAGATGTAGAAATAGAAATGTTATATTGCAAATTGCTTTTTATATTGTCAAGGTATTACCTATCGTTCACCAACAACATAACTTTTTCAAACAGTCTTTGCAGTATATCCATTAAAGATCATTGTATAAAATATCTTCCTCATGATATAACAAATATTAATATTCGGGTGCTATGTCAAGTCAAGATGCATCCCCTTTCTCCGACGCGTCGATTCACCAAGCGCGTCGACAATCTGGTGTCTTGACCCCAAGCTCACAATCAGTTTGTCACGATGATATAGGGAGCTTGGGAAGTAAAAAGCGAAAGAGAGATGGTAATTCATTGGAGGACTTGTTGAAAGATACATTCGTTGTCAAGGTGGGTAATCCATTTACTTATTTTTACAACACCATGTCTGATTCGAAAATAGCCATATCCATCCAAAGCCAACACCCGACCTCGAACTTTCCAACCTATAATATTACTACCACGGTCACAGCTACCACTCTCATATCTAGACGTAGGATCTGCGACCAATTCTTTGCCCCAATCGCGACTTTTCGAGACTCATGTTAAGATACTGGAATTGGAGGAACGAATGGGAAATCAGCCAATGGTCCTCATAGCTAGGTTGGATGACAATCGCACTTTATATGCTGTCGAGAGAGAATCGCGAGGCTTATACGTAGTCTTACAACTCGGTTCTTGGGTCAACATACATCAATTGAAATCATCGGCCGTGGTAGCCCAAACCGAGCGCACAGATGTGCCGGTAAAGGGACTACTTTTCGGTTCAACTCATTTCGAAACCTCGACCGAACCATTGATCACACCGGAAGGAAGCAAATATACCAAGAAAAAGAGACTCGCCATCGAAGCGATACAGTCTATGATCAAACGCCCATCTACGCCGCTATTGCCAGAATCACGTCCTCAATCAGTTGCGCCTGAAAAAGTACCCGCATCCGAACCTCAAAATGACACTCAAGCGACTATCTGTTTACCTGCTTCGGAGACGAAAACACAAGCCACTTCCACTGAAATTTTTGACAATGTTCGAACTCAGTACTTCGAATCACTTTATCTTTCAAAAACTTCACTAGCATATTTTGCAAAAGGTCCTTTATCACGAGCACGCGCGGCATTTCACCTCGACTTTGACGCAAATCTCGATATGAGTGAACACATCGCATTTTTAGAAAGCCTTGTACTATCCAGTACTCTTCTTGACAAGAAGTATCGTGATGGTGTACCTGTCTGCGTCTCATCCATTGATATCCATGACCAGAGTGCCGACGATACTACAGTGAAACCCAAGAGGAGGAAGAGCAACAAGAAGATGAAGCCTGGCAAGAATGGGTTGTATCCAAATGAGGAGTCGCTCATTAAGCAATGGTGGATTAGCCATGACGAGGAGATAGAGCCCGGGGCTCCAGGATCATCTAAAGAAGAGTTAGCGAAAACTCGTATAGCGAATCTACGTATTCGCGAAACACAACTCCAAATGATTGTAATTCTTGAGATTTTTGCTCTACAACCTTTAGTTTCGACAAACGAGAACTTGGAAGGAGGCTTACCTAGTCTTCCGATTAACGACGGGATAACACAAAGCAAAGAAAGGACACCCAAGACTCGAAAACAGGATCATCTCACGATGCTTATTGACGTTCATATTGACAGACTATGCATTTGGCAATCCATTGCAAGTGAAGCTATCAAGGCTCCAGATACAAGCTCCGGCCTAACGTCCAACAATACCTTGAAGCATACTGACAATATTCTCAAGGACTTCTGTATAGAAGTCATTGTACCTTTCTTCTCGGCCCGTCTCCCAGATCGTTGTGATGCGATTAATCGCAAACTTGGTGGACCCATTACCAAATCGGTATCAAAACCTAGGGTTTCCAAAGCTGCAAGTTTCTCAAACACACTTACTCGGCCAGGGACTATCACCAAGCGTCCTGTTCCTGCAAAGCAAAAGAAGAGTCTGCAGCGTGTATTGACAGATGATAGAGAGAGACGTAGTATGTCAATAGGCTCAAATAGAGCCATTTCCTTAATGAGGTCGGCTACCGATCCTACCATTCCCGGACTGAAAAGAGAGACAAGTGAAGCTCCATCCTTGTCTAGCATACCTTCTGCCGAGTTTAAGCCTCTTCATGTTAATAGAGGTGGTGTGTTGAATTCCAAAAGATTTTCCCAGAGAGAGGTGGATATGAGTACACTTGCGCCAGACCCTAACTCGAAAGCAAAGAAACAAGCCGCCATTGATGCAGAATTGAAGGATGCCATATCAGCACTAAAGAAACCAAATCGTGAGCTGGCTGGTAAAGCTTTAGTTGAGACTGCCGAACGAAGATCTGCCTCTGCTGGACATCCTCGAAAATCCAAAAAGCCTGTCAGAAATCCGCTGTTTCAAGCATTTCAATCGGTACAGATTAAAGCCACCCCCAAAACCAACCGTCAAAAGGATATGTTTGGGGAATCTCAATCGACTATTGGCAGATCTAGAGATTTCGACCAGATGGAGCTTGGCATCATCCCCCCATCAAGTGTACCTACCATACCACAATCCAAAGCTCGCCCTTCATATGATCTTGACCCCTTTCGAGATTCTGTACAAGCGACTCCAACTCGAAAGCCCCTTTCAAGTTCGTTTAGATCTACGAGCTATTTTACAAACCTTGACGCTGATTATGGTGCAATACCACCTTCTTCACCGTTGCAAATGCGCCGCTCTAGCGCACAACTATTCAACAGCATTCCTGATTCTGTTGTCAAAATACCTTCTCTGTCATCTGTCCCAAGTAATTTGGAAACACCAATTAAAAGACCTTCACCTTCAACATTGTTTACTGGTATACAGGAAACACCATTGAAGGAAACGCCACTGAAGGGAATATCATTGAAGGAAACACCAATGAAAGACACTCCTGTCCGTAAAATATCAGAATGGATATCGGGTTACACCCGTCCTGCGGGCCCTTCGAATGAAGACCAAGAGAACATAAGAGATGTGCCAGTAGCACTAGAAAAGATGAAACCCACACAAGTTTACAAGAAAGAGGTATCGTATTATGAGGCGTTAGGATGGAATGATGATGATATTGATGACTTGGCATGATATAACTGCATTTGAAAGGAGTAATTTGAATTAATACCAATCACTGGAATGGTTTTCATGACTGGTCGGCTGCATTGCGTAGGGTTTGGGTTTAGCATAGCATTGGCGTATTGTATGAACTATTTTACTACTTGGTGTTGCATCGCATATCGCACTCAATATACACACTTCCATAGGTATTTGCGGGATATAAATACATGAAGATATAAATTATTGAATTATTAAATTATTAAATTACTAAAGACTTTCCAACATGATGTTTAAAACACTCAGAATTATTAAGTTTCCTTTCTTCTTTAACCCAATTCCTGGACTTCAACTACCCACCTGTAACCTTATGTGCCTGACCTCTCGTCCCAGCACAACTTTTAAAAACATTAGCTTACCTTACGAGGGCCTGTTTTTGATGAGGGCCCGAATAAAATTTAAGCGAATTTCCTCACCAAAACCGTGCTTTATTCCCTTTTTTTATAAATACAATATAATTCAAATATCTATTATAAAGCTTTGAAATTCTGAACATATTTAAAGATTTAATGAATAATTATTTCAATATTAGTTTTGTTAAGTTTGATGAGATATTGATTGATAAATCTTATATAGAATTTCAATCTTTAAAATAAGTATTATTTTTTATAACAGTTTTAAATCCTAATAATTCTATATAGATTTTAGTTAGATTGGAAAGTTTTATAGAAAATCTAAAATCACATTATAAAATTTTAAATTAAAATCTATCTATATAGATTTTTTTAATTATATAATAATATTAATTAAATTTAATATTGAATTCTAAAGTAGGTGATTTTTGGTGTGAAAAGTGCTTGCGCACGGACCCGGGCCCTCATCAAAAACACGACCTCGTACCGTTAACCGGGAAGCAAGTAATGCAATAGCAAGTGGAGCATGGCGGGGACCGCGATAAACAAATTGATAATGATAAACAAACTTTATATGCATCTGCGCTGCATCGATTCCTGAAAGAAAAGCAGAAGGAAAAAATGTTTCAATAATTCCACGTCGATTTCTTCTGGTTCTTTCTATTAGATTCTACTCGTAGGGATTGATTGATTGATTGATTGATTGCTTAATTGATTGATTGCTTGATTGATTTAGTTCATTGATTGCAGAGCGGAGCACTCAGAGCTGGATTTTCTCCGTTGCTTAATACATTACATTACATATCCTTAGTATCAATATCTAGAACGGTGAACCTTACTATCGACAAAGTCAACGTGGTTGAGGTTGAGATACTGCTACTGTTACTGGAAGTAAAGAAGGAACGATCAATTTCAACATCCAGAAGACGAATAAGATTCCTACTGAAAAGAAAGGAGGATATTATTACCTAGTATTCTATTTCATTCTCGGGGGATTTGCCCAAAAAAACAAAGAATCAGAACTCTCCACCATATAAAGAAACATCACTAAGCAAGCCACTCTCCAACCTCTCCTCTCTGTCTCTCGCTCAAAATGGATATTCTGGCTCTCATCCAAGCTAATCCTATCGTCAACGGTATAACCACTTCCATCTCTCTCCCTCCCCTCCACCATACTAACCCTCCTCAGATATCTACCAACATCTCGCGCCCTACCTAATGCAAGCATATCCCTATCTCCTGCGCGCCTATCCGCTGCTGCACAGCACCTACCGCTCTCTCTTCAGCAAAATTCTGCATCCGCTCTACCTCTTCACCATAACGCACATCATGCCACTGTTTCTCCCCCTCCTCGAAGCCACGCTCAAAGTCGCGAGTCAGAGTCCGGGAATCGCGGTCGTGGTGGGGGTTTTGGCCGTGGTCTGGTTTATATTTTTCCTGATGAGTTTGATGCGCAGGATGGTGGCGTGGGGGTTGCGCGTGGTGTTTGGATTGGTATTTTGGGGGGTGTTGGGCGGAGTGGCGGTGATGGTTTTGCAGAGGGGGGTGGGGAGGACTGGGGTGGAATTGGTCGAGGGGGGAAGGTGGATGCTGGATGTCTTTTGGAGTGAGTATTTGAAGGCGAGGAGGGAGCAGGAGATGAGGAGGTGAGCGGTTGGTTTGGTGGGGAGGTCTTTTTGTGATATTGTGGGTTGGTGGGTTTGATTGGCGTTCAGATTTGGGTTGGGTTTGGATGGGTTTTGTGATGATATGTGAGGAAAATGGGGAATAGCAATGGAGAGGAAGAGATGGGTGGGTGATGAGGGAATGCATTGGATAGAAGGGTATATGCTTCGGAGCATCAGCAATGGTTGGATGAGCGTTGTAATTACCGCCTGCCATCAGCGAATGGGGCAACTTTAACAATGAACATAATACGACGTTAGGCGGGCATTGGCATATTATGAAGAGCAAACTCATGAAAGAAAAAACAACATTTGTAGATATCTCCAATCTTCGATAATTCTTGATAGTCTTGAATATGATAACTCACCCCAAAAAACGCCAGCGCTATGCATCATACAATTATTTCTCCTTAACGCCAGTTCGGTATCCTCTCAAATTCCGTGCCTCCCAACCAGCTATGCGCCTCTGCTTGCGTCGAGATTCAAAGTATACTTGACTACCAATCTTTGCAGCTGTCTGAGTATTCCACATAGCGCATTTTCATTTTATTCCCAAAATCCCAAACGAAGCCAACTTATTCTGCCTCATCATATTCCACCTCATCATTTGGTTCCTTTGGTTCTTGCGCCTCGTGGAATTGAATAGCATCATCAATATAACTCAAGATTCCTCCAACACTATCCTCACTCTGAACATCCAACCTCAAATACGAGACCATACTGAAACTGTCAATCAAACCCGCAACCGCCTTATTCAATCTGCGGAAACTGTTCCCCTTCATCAATGTCTGCGCATCCTTTGCTTCGCCCTCTCCATCATCTTCTTCCTGATCATCATCCAATAACGACGTATCCGGATCTAAGAATCTTTTCAGTTCTCTCTTTGCGACTTGTCCTTTTACTAAATCCATCTTGGATAGAATATTGACGTGTGGAACCTCGAGCATAATCATCGCACTCATAGCAGATAAAGTGCCTGCGAAAAACTTCGCGCGATCAACCACAAACGTCGCTTCTAACAGATACGCCGCGCATAGATTAATATCTAATGCGCCCGTCTTGGTCAAGAATTTTACCAGAGCAGGTAAGATTGGGATATGTGTGTATAATTCTATCTGGCCTGGCATATCGATGATAATAAGATATTCTTCGGTCAGAGGCTCGATGGCTTCGGAGAGGAAATCGAGATTTTCGAGAAGGAATTCGAAACAATAGATGAGACCGCCGTTGGGGCCGAGACCCATTTCTTCCATGACATCTTCAAGGGATATGAGATCTTTGATATCGAGATCGGGTTCGTGGGTGAAGGTTTCGGCGGCCGGGTCAAGGTTAATGTAGAAGCAGGAGCGACGATTGTTTTGGAGATGATTTATGAGACCGGTACAGAAGGTTGTCTGGAGGTAAAGGAGAAGGAGATTAGTATATATCTCTCTCTTGACTTGTTTAGGGAGAACATTCACAAAAATCAAGACTTGAATTGGGAATGGCTAAGGCCTGGAGATATAAGAAAGACGCGCATAGAATGGAAAGACATACTTTTCCTGCACCTGCAGGTCCCATTACTAGGACACCGAATTTACTCATCTTGAAATTATGGTAGGTATCTGGTATTAGTGATGGGTAGATAATATGCGACGATGGGAGTATTTGTATTTGGTTGTGAACAATGTGCCCTGGGAAGCAATGATATGATAAATTGTGAATACCTACGATACCTACTCGTATTATCAGACTTGTAAAATGTTGATAGTGGGGTAGCTTCTATCAGTAAAAGAAAAAAAGAAAGTTCAGCCTTCTCCTTCCGCTTACCTAAGCAGACAAAAGTTTCTTTACACAAGGCTGAGGAATGAAATGTTTCTAGAAGGCCACGAGAAGACGTAGAGATTTTGTCATAATCATTAGTAGAAAGTTAGAATGTAATTAGTACCACCTAACCTACGGGATGCTAGGCAAGGCCCGTCTCGGTACGAGTGTGCCCCGTACGAAACTGTCTCAACAAACTACCATTACAATATATTGATACCTACCAATACCTATCAAATAAACTATCAAACCGACCGAGATGGGAATCTATTGACAATTCTACGGCGGTAATGTCACCCAAGAGACTACTTGTACTGCATACTAGGTAGGTAGGCAAGTCAATGAAGTGAGTGTGATAATCTAGACTGCCCAAACATAATATGATACAGAATACCACAAACAATCTCGGAGCGAAGGGTATATTGAATCCAAATATTCGGCGCCCGAGATGTATTCTAGATGATTGAAGCCAATGAACCACTACTGGCACAGTCAACCAATCAAGCCATTCAACATCTCCAGATCATCACTCATATCTGCATGATAACCTGATAAAGGCAGCTGGAACTGCAAGTCCCTCGTCCTCAATACCCCTGCACGCAATCAACATGGGATGTATGGAATCAATCGTGCATGCACATCTTTGAATCTTACGAAGGACATGCAAATTGCGACTTTGCGAAAGCAAAAGAAAAGAAAGGCGTGACAGCGGTGAGGTGTTCGGTATCATACCTACCTAGGCAATGGAACAGCAAGGGAACATATGCTACTGGACTGTCGGCCAGCCTGGCAGTCTCTATTGGGAACTAGGGAGGTATTCTGTACCAGCCCTTGGAGAGATGGTGCAATTCTCCCATTTCATTACTAACCAATTGGAATCCGTAGCACAGACATATTCTTTGTTTAACCCCACCTTCCCCCAAAAAATCCCAATCACAAACTTTTCCTTTTCCTTACATACTACATAGATCCTTTTCTTCCGACCCCTCGACCTCTTGACTCTTCTCTTCTCCTTTTAAAAACAACACCTCTCAGTACTTTGTTTTTTTCTCCCATTTTCTCTCACACAACTCTCTTTTCTCCATCATCTCCTCACATATACCAACCGTAATCATGGTTCAAGCCAACGGATCAAATGGGGTCTCCCACCACAACCAAGGAACCTTCCTTTTCACCGTAAGCTGGCCTTTTGACTCGATAACAAATTTTTCTTACTGATCGTTTTCTCTAGTCCGAGTCTGTTGGTGAGGGACATCCAGACAAGATCGCTGATCAAGTCTCCGATGCTATTCTCGATGCATGCTTAGCTGAGGACCCTCTCTCCAAGGTTGCTTGTGAGACTGCTACCAAGACTGGTATGATTATGGTCTTTGGTGAGATTACCACCAAGGCACGTCTCGATTACCAAAAGGTTATCCGTGGAGCCATCAAGGATATCGGATACGATGACTCTTCCAAGGGTTTCGATTACAAGACTTGCAACGTTTTGGTTGCCATTGAAGAACAATCCCCAGATATCGCTCAAGGTCTTCACTACGAGCAAGCTCTTGAGCAATTGGGTGCTGGTGATCAAGGTATCATGTTCGGTTATGCCACTGATGAGACTCCTGAATTATTCCCTTTGACCCTTCAATTGGCACACAAGCTTAACGCTGCTATGTCCGCTGCTCGCAGAGACGGAAGCTTGCCATGGCTCAGACCTGACACCAAGACTCAAGTTACCATTGAGTACAAGCACGACAATGGAGCTGTTGTCCCACAAAAGGTTCACACTGTTGTCGTCAGTGCTCAACACGACGAGAACATCACCACTGAGTCTTTGAGAAAGGAGATCTTGGAGAAGATTATCAAGAAGGTCATCCCAGCTGAATACTTGACTGAGGAGACCATCTACCACGTAAGTTTCATTGTAATCATCTTGCAATTATAATTTGCTAACATATCCCTTTCAGATCCAACCATCCGGACTTTTCATCATTGGTGGACCTCAAGGAGATGCTGGTCTTACTGGCAGAAAGATTATTGTCGACACATACGGTGGATGGGGTGCTCACGGTGGTGGAGCTTTCTCCGGAAAGGATTTCTCCAAGGTCGACAGATCTGCTGCCTACGTCGCTAGATGGATTGCCAAGTCTTTGGTCAATGCCAAACTTGCCAGACGTGCTCTCGTCCAACTCTCATACGCTATCGGTGTTGCTGAGCCACTCTCGATCTTCGTTGACACATATGGTACCTCTAGCAAGACCTCTGATGAACTTGTTGAGATCATCAGAGCCAACTTTGACTTGAGACCTGGTGTCATTGTCAAGGAGCTTGATTTGGCTAAGCCAATCTACTTCAAGACTGCCAAGAACGGTCACTTCACCAGCCAAGAATTCAGCTGGGAGAAGCCAAAGACCCTCAAGTTCTAAATAAAAATATAATAAACTCAAAACACAACATCAGTACAGGACTCAACGTCTTTGTACAACCAGGATTCCCTGTATTTCCTACGGATATCTAACGGCGCAATGATTGATGAAAGGCATGGTCTCAACGACCTTTGGGGCCAATATATGGCGGGAGTTTTTTTTATGATATCATTCACATTTTTTTTTACACCTGCTTTAAACAGCGCTTTATTGCATGACAAAAGCACTATTTTCTGAGTTTCTTCTCATTTGTTTTTCAAGGATAACATACAGCAAAAGACACAAATGAAGATAAAAGTCTTTCAACATAGACCGTAGATATGGCGGGCAATGGATTATTACTCTTTTCGGGGATGGGAGGTGTGGCATACATAGCATTCGGCGTTACGGAGAACTTCAACATCTTCAATATAGTCGGAGAATACCTTGGGCAGGTTGCCTTGGAGAGGATTCTCAGTTGCTATTGTGCATGGAGCTCAACTTAGTTCGATTTGAATTGAGAATAGACAATTATCTAATCATGATTTGATGGTTAGAAGAATAGTTTTTTTTTGATTTAGTGGGGGGATAGCAATTTAAGATTACTGTTCTTTCTCTACTTTTATTATTCGATATATGCATATTAGTGATATGAAGTGAATTTGATTATTTGATATGTGTACACTCAAGAATTTGGGGATCAACAGTCACATCAACAGCCCTGCAAATTCCTCATACCTGTGTTCAAGATTTGCCGAAACTTTCCTCGAAAATTTGTATCTCTTTGACAAAA